TATTTTCAACTCTCTAAATTTATATTACTTCAGAAGTCAGATGTTGAAACTCTGGAGTGATGTCAGGTATATGCATTAGTGAGTTGCAGTAGGAAAGTTGGAAAAAGAAGGAAAAACAGGATTTATTTTTGCTTCTCTGGCAGGTAGAGCTATTTGAGTATCACAAGCAATACAGCATAACATTTGTTGTTTGTGCTTCGCTGCAGCACGTCTGTGGACTCGGCATATGGCTTATTCAGCAAGTTATAGTTGTACTGCTGTTTTATAACATCCACTGCCAGCATTATGGATTGTTAACCTCCTGGTGGAGCAGTTGCTCAAACTTTCCAAATGGAAAATCCAGGTTAAGGGGGAGTTCCAGATAAAAATTCCAACTGGGAACTCAAAAATTCTGTCAATACATTTTGTCTTCCCTTCCGTAGTCTCTGTTTTTTCTGTCTCTCTATGCTTTGTTTGTGTTTCCTATGTTATGTTATCTCTGTTTCTTTTTCATTTCTCTTTCAAATCCCGTGATACATTTGTTCTCCTGGGACTTAAACTAGCTATCCCATTAGGAATTAAAAAGAAATAAACACACACACACTTGTTTGTGATGCTGAATATAATTCTAGTGTTTGTAGAACTTCTTTATAATTTGTGAGTTGGACTGTGGGTAGCAGGTTGTTTTTTTTGAAGAACAACATATACCAGATCTTTGTTTTTTGGTGTTTTGTTTGTTTGTTTTTTGTCCCCTGGATTTTGTAGAACAGATCAGTGTTTCATTTAATGTGACTTTGATGTCTTTACAAATCCATGCAGTGATTGCTCAAGTGTTGCTACCAAGATAGGAAAGCTCAGTTTCAAAGAGAAGAATGACAACAATCAAGTAAAGCGTTAAAGTTTTGATTTAGTCGCCTTTCCTGTCAAAACTGCACAGATGCAGGATGGATTTAACCCTCTCACACATAGTGGTCACTGCAGTGGACAGCTATTCAAAGGCTTTTTTTTGTATTTGTGTCAGTGTTGATGGTATACTTGCAAATAAACCACTACATTGGACACTGATGTGTCACTCCATACACATCAGTTGTCCACCTAAGTGGACATGTAAAAAAGTCTTTGAAAAGTATATGTTAAAAAAAAATATTCATCATATTGTACTGAAATACACGGAATAGTAACAAATTAAAAACACAACAAGGAAAGATTGGCTTGTCAGCTGATGAGCCTGTCAATCTCAGATGTCTTTTAAAAAGTCCTGTCCAGGGGTGTCCTTCCAAAGTGGAGGCCAGGTGGCTTTGATGCTGGGTCTGTCCTTCAGATTTTTATGGTATTCTGACAGTTTGGGGTAACGTTTCTCACTTAGCCTGCAGGAGAGATCAAAATCAGAGTGAGTTCACTGCTGTTTATTATTCCATTCATTCATCTTGCCAAGCAACTAAACGTCAGCCTTAGTAAAGTAGCTTACTTACCCCATGCGGAAGAGAAGAGCAACGCTTGGATAAACAATCACATCAGCCATTGAAAAGCTCTTTCC